TCAACTTTTGATGAAAAAATTGAAGTGTTGAAAACAGTTTTATAATCATAAAAATAAACTTACTAAACCCACATTTTTAAAGCAAATTACAAGCTTTCACACTTGCTCATGTAGAAATTGATCTTCAAAAATCCATTCAACAGCGAAATTTTTTGAAAAAAATACGAAACACAGTAGCAAAAGTAATTTGGCAATTTTTGTTAAAATCAGAGGTCGCTTTGTTATGTTTTAATCGCAGGCACCAAATAAACATTTTATTTCTGTTTGCATTAAAAAAATTTGAACCAACAATAATCGAGATAAATAAATTGTTTTGATAGTTGTTTTATTTGGAAGCGAATGTGTACATGAAAAAATATATAAATTTTTGTTGTTAATGATAAGAATAATCAAAAGCCAAACAAACATATCGCACAAGATTCCTCAATCTGGTCGAGCGATTTGAAAGCAAAAGCAAAAATGGAAGAAAGAAAATCAATAGACCAAAATATATAAAAATACAGCACAATATTAACTTTATATGGAAAAATTAGGTCAATTTTTGCAAGGTTTTTTCCAAGACGAGAGTTCCTCAGCCCTTAATTGCTCTAATGCAATGGAAAATTAGAGGAACCTCAACTGGGGTTGCATATTGAATAGATTACACATCTGCGATATGCAGATGATACAACGTTGATAGCAGCCAACAGACGAGGAACTGTCAGACCCGGTAAACTGACTGAATGAAGGCAGGTCTTTTTGAAAAATGAAGCATTTTTGATTCTTATCTATCGAAGAATCATTGAAAACAGTGGACATTGAATGGCGAACAGTCACAAACAATGTCCAAATGGTCATCAACAAGCCATGAACAGCTAAACCTAGAGTAACAAGGGATGAATGCGACTCATTGGAAATGAACGAAACGGACATACGACTCACTTTTCAGTTACTTTTTAAATAATTAGTGGAATGTTTGCTATTGGGTTTACACGATTGGAAACGAACGCAAAAACTTTTCAAAAACAAGCTAAATGATGTGGAAATACATTGGCGAACACTCGCTAAAAATGTCCGAATGATCGCGAAAAAGCAATCAGCATGTAGTGAGCAGCAATAATGAATGGGACTGCATGCAAACGAACGAAACGAACGCAAACAAACACGACCGTAGAGCTTTATTAATTTTTCTTATTAAAAAGCTATTCAAAAACGAGCTGAAACATGTAGAATGACGAACATTCACGAACGATGTCCGAATGTAGCAAAAAAGTCTTCAGTTAATTTATTCGTTGACTAATTTCGAAAGATATGGTGCGAATAAAAATTTACAATTTTTGACTGGACTTGTATCAATTTGAAAAGGGCATGGCTTAAAAGTTACATATAAACACAAATAAAAAAAGCTGCAACTTAATAAATACAGCAAACCCAGTATGTAAACCATGGTTGATTCGCGACGTTAATTTATTTAATATTGACTTTATTTAGGAATGATATTTGCGGCGATGATTAAATTGTTGCTCATTATAGGGCATTTATGCACCATTAAAATGCCTTAAAAATGAGAAACTCATCAAAACGAGCATCCAATTAAGGTTTGATATCCTTGAAAAAATGTGTAAAATTAGTATTAAATGAATAGATAACATTTTCCATCGTATGCAGTCGAGCAAAAAACTGAACAGAACGAAAAAACTAAAATCAACAAATATCAGACAAATAAGTCCATAAAAAATGATAAATTTTGCAATTCGCATTGAAAATAAAAGTGCGAATGCGAAAAGGCGTCGCATGAAATCTATTGGTTTAAGGTTCGACATAAAAAAAATCTGCAGATTCATAAATAAGTTCAATTACAGTCCCTGACCAAGACCGTCGCTGTTTAATTCATGCAAACCATGGCACTGTGATTTTTTTCGGAAATTTTATCCAAGGCCGATGGGTATTCGAACAGACATACCCACTGACACCCAGTAAGTATTATGGGTAGAACACAGTTGGCACACAAGTACTTCACGTCGCCTGCTCGAAATGATCCGCCTCTCCTCGACCAATAGACGTCGCCACACAGAGCCGACGGCTCGTATTGGCTGGGAGTAGGGGGTACTAGGTGGGTACAGCAGGTGAATACGGCAGGTGCACACTTAACATGACTGCAGCAAGAGTTTCGATTTTGTTTTGTTTGCGCGACTACTGTGTATAAAAATTTTAAATAATCGGCTCGGTTCTTGGGTGCACAAATTAATTTTTGCCATTTTATTGGCCGCTGTGTGCACCTTTTGCTTTTTACTTTGCAATTAATACCGGTACGCTCTGGATAGATGCATAAATACAGTGAGTAAAGTATGAAATCTGTTAGAATAAGACTATAATCAAAATGCTTTTAATATTATCAATATAAGTTCAGCCATATATATTATGGACCACAGTGTACCACAACGCCATATTGCTTAGGCAGCATAATTTTTTTTCATCGCGAGAGCAACCTTTTTAGTCAAGCAAAGCTCAAGTAGAGCAAATCGCTGCTGATACAGAATCGTTCTCGTGTTCGGAAATCTACTTTTGTACTGTGTTGTTCTTTATCATTTATCAACATACTTTTATTCATACATTAAGAGTGTGTCCACTTTATTTCACCAACAAAATCCTTGACTCTATACGGTAAATATCCAGGTTCCGACAACATCAACTAGCACTTTGACTTGCATTTTCAATGTAGCAAATTTTGTGGATGTAAAATTCATCATAGTGATAAAATATTTCGTTAAATGCCGAGGTAACGTTATAAAGTTGAACTGCGTGACTACATTTTACGGAAGAACTTTTTTCTTATAGGTACTACAACACAAATGTCAAGTATTTTATTATATTGGCTTTTTATAGAACAATATTTTTGCTATCAAGAGCTGAAATCCTTATTCCCATGACCGAACCGACTGCTGCAAAACCGGCTTCAGAGCAAGGTGATAAAAAAATTAAAACCTCTCTAAATGTTTGAAAATTCTTCATGCGTGCGTTGAATTCTCACAAATACAAATTAAAGCCACAAATGAAACACGACTTTCATTCTGATATCCCAACTGGTTGCGTAGAAAGCGGTTTCAGAAGATGATGTAAAAATGAAAAAACGCACAAAAACCCTCCAAAGTTGAAAATTCTTTACGCAAGTACTGGATATTTTTGTACTTTTTACAAACTTCTTTTTGGGTATTTTGCCTCAAAAATTTTTGTCATTAAAAAAGACAGAATTTCCTCACGTCTTTTATTACAGATTGATAAATAGTGCTCCTATTTCGCAATAAGAACGAATTATTTAT